TATAACTACTACAATTCCATCCTGAATATGGACAGTAGCATTTGCCCTAACGAGCTCTTCCAGTTTGGATTTAACCAGTAACATTTTGGAAATGTGTAACATGGTCCAATCTTCCTCTTCTTTCTTCTGAATTTCTTCTAGTGCGAAAGAACCCATTTTTAACTCACTATCGAGCATAATTCGGTACCATGGTTCTCCTACAAGAAATTCTTATATCTGTACAGGCTGAACATCATAGTTCTCTTGCAATGAGGAAGTAATCATGCAAGTGAAAGTGTCAACTTTCCGATTCAATACACAGAGCATTTGCTTAACCGCATCTGGTATATTAGGATCCACCATCGCTTCTTGTACGTCAATTTGCATTGTATCGATCCATCCTTTAGTCAAAAGATCTCTACAGAAACCTTTTCTAAAGATTTTCCATTTATTAATTTACTACATATATACATACGTAGAACTTGATAATTGAAGTAAATAACTAAATATTATATTATTATTCAATCAAATATACTATTTTATTCAAAAACAATTCTTTTAATTGGTCCTAATTCCAATTATACACTTAATTAATCAAAACTTTAATATTGATATATTATAATATATTAAAGTTTTTTATATAGATTAGTTTATATGTAATAAGTATAATTGTATATATATTTAATTAGGTTATTGTAAAAATTTAACTTTTTCCATTTTAAAATTTTTTATATGTAAAACTACAAGATGCCTCCTATTCTTCACAGATATTTCATTTCAACCTAGGTTCTAAAACAGGGTACCCGCTGCAGGTTCCAAGCCGGGTACCCGTTGCAAGTTCTTTTTTCTAGGTTCTGGTTCCTCCACATGTAGGAACCGGAACCAGAACTACATAGTGTCGGTTCCAAAAAAAAGGAACTAGAACCTACCAGCACAATGCCGGTTTGGGTAGGTTCCGGTTCTGGTTCTACCCGTAAATTTTGGTTCTACTCGCTACCCTTGCTCACCCCTAGGCCAAGACAATTTGGCCAGCGCCTTCCCTTAGAGTCTAATAGCGCCGACAATGTCGAAATTAGGCCAGATTGAGTGCTTGTTAGAGAAATTTTCAATATGAAGGGTTATTTTGAAATTTTTATTTTTATTTCTGATTGAATACAATACGAATGACCACTTTACCCTTTAACCGTTACATTAAATGATTTGCTATTAATTTAACGGTGGAAATATGGAATTTATGAAACCTAGGGTGGAAACTTGCCATTTTGCCAAACCTTGGGTGGGAACATGTCTTTTACTCTAATTTATATATTTGAAGAGGTTAGCACTACACTTACAACCTAATATCACAAATTTTCTCTCACTATTTCGACATGATAACTCACAATTGATCAACTCACAAATAGGTCTTGCTTGCTCGCTATGGGTCTTTGGCAAGCTATTCGCAAGTGTATGAAATTATACAAGTAGTAAAGTTTGAGTAAACGAGTGTCAAATCCCAAGAGAACTACCTACCAAGTACCAAACCAGTTTATTTTATTGCTATTTAATGAAACCGAATTTTAAGAATGAATTAATGAAAAATAAAACAAACTAAAAAGTAAACAAAAGCAGAATTGTATTAATACTTTGGTAAACAGATCAATAAGACTAAACCTAGGGCACAAATTTCACACCAATTTATTCCTATGCATTGACAATTATTGCTAACGTAATTAAGCTTATTCTAAAGGCTAAACTCCATAATATTTCTCTAACTTTTTTTTTTTTTTGGGATAAGGTAAGTATGTATAAAAGACAAAAAATGTACAAATACGAGGGGCATACCCCAAGAGAACTATTTCTCTAACTTTCTCTCAAACAATTACCGAATTAACCCCTAAGCAACAACCCAAAATATCTCTAATGTGGATTTAGAAGATAAGAGATCATTAAGGTCTATGAAATTTACCATAGCCTCACAAATCGCGGTAACCTATCTCTAGCGTTTGCTCAATCTATAGTTTTATTACCTTAGACTAATCAGGTTTCATCTCTCGATCTCAACCCAACCCATAAAATCATTCAACTCTCAGGCCCTTAAGAATTGAAAGCATTATATACAATAATAAAACTTAGAACTAATGTTCAATTAAAATTAACAACAATAAAATCAACACATATACATAAATTGGGCTACATATTTAGCCCTAGAAAATAAATTTAGTTCATAATTGCAGTAATAAAAACAGCCATTATATTAACAAACATGAGTTCAAGAAAGAAAATAGAAAAACTTCTCTAATTGGTGAACGAAAACTGCAAGAATTCTGATCTCCAAAATAGTAGCTGCTTTTTCTCCTTCTCTAACCTCCCTAAAAACTAATTAAAGACCCTTATTTATAGTGCTAGGGTTTGAAGGTTAATTAGGAAAGAATTAAATGCCTTAAGCCATTCAGATTCGAACTAGGAAAATAAAATAACCTAAACAGACCCGCAATCCATCACTGCGGCAACAGAAATGGTCGCTGCAGCGATCGTTCTTTCTGTCCCACGAGTCTGTAATCTTCAGAATTTGGAAAAGTTATCAACACAAGCTTTGTATCTCTCTGAATAAACTTTCCAATGCAATAAGAATCATCGAATTCTGATTTCTACAACTCAAGTTATGATGAAAACATTGAAGCATGCTCATCTTGAAGAATTTCCAGGTTTTAAGTCTCATCTTCAACGCATCATAACTTCCTCATTTCAAATCCAATTCTTGCACCGTTTGTTCCTACTTGTCACAAATTCCATCAACATCGTTCTTCTTCATTCAAATATCATTTATAACCTACAAATACTCAAAAGACACCTGTGATCCTATAAAAGATATTTATGAAATAATTAACTCAAATTTCAAAATAAAAACACATTTTCCACAAATAATCCAATTGAATCACTAACAAACCATTTATTTTCAAGCTCTTATTAGTCTCACCTCTCAAATTGTGAGTTGACCTCTTGCGAGCTATTACGTCGAGGTTTTGAGAGAAAGTTTGTAAGATTAGATTGTAAATCAATTTTTATTTATTTAAAAAGCATTCTATTTGCTCCTTCAAAATCTGGACAGGACTCTAATTTCATGAAAATGATTTGCTGCAGTACAAAATAAATTATAAATTTCGGCGAGCAAATTTCGATCACTTCATCCTTATTATAATAACTAGAAATGGGGCCCACGTATTGCGCGGGTATGTTTATTCAATGTTTTTGAAATAGATTGTAAACAAATTTATTCTAACAAAATAAACTAATTAGATTAAGACATAATAAGTGTTAAATTATACAAATTTTAAAGTAAATATAAATTGTATATATATACAAAGTTGTGTTAAGATAAAATTAATAATTGTATCTGTATAATTATTAATATCAATTATAGGTAGATGTTATTAAATTTTCATCCAACTTGAGAAGATCACCTGAATATTATATGTTCTAATTATATTTTCAGAATCATCACCATGTACAATTGATATTATTTTTGCAGACATGTCTTTTATATTTGATGTTAATATTTAATAGTGAATCGTGTATGATATTTAATATCACATGAATAGTATCAAGACTAACTATTTAAACTCAAAATTTATATTGACCTTCCGCAATTTCTGTAACTTATATTCATTTTCAAGTTGCGTTGCGCATGTATGTTTATTATATATATTTTTTTTACATTTGACATTTGCTAACAAAGTTTAAAACTTTGTCCAAAAAAGTAGAAGATTTGCAGGATAACCTACTGGGTATTATTGATAAGTCTATAAATTAATCAAAGAAAGAAAGACTTTGTTAAAAAATGTAAACTTTTAAGCAAGAGACCTGCAAAGCCACAAAGGAAAAAATTGATTAAGGTGCTGACTCAGGGTCGTTTCATATTGAAGATGATTCTCAATTCTATATTCAACAACTGATCCGCAAGCTTGCAAGTGAAGCCTATATTGGGCAACGTGTCATATTTTCAATATCTCAAAGAATTTCTATGGTAGTCAAAAAACGTTTTTCCTTAAGTATTTATGTTTTCAACATTTAATTGAGAAATCGTGACACTGGAAACGTCAATTTTCACTTAAATGAAGCCAGAATGGCTGAGAGAGCAGTGAGAAAGTCTTTGCGGATTGTGGAGTCATTTCTCTTAGCAACTATTCATGGGCAAATTCATCGCAAGCTCTACACGAAGTGTTGTATTAATAATTCCTTGATCCCAATTTAATGGCCTTGTAGAAACCAATTATTTCTCCTATTCAAAATTTTACATAACTCTCCATGTATCATCCGAAATAGCTTCGCCTAATTTGTTTTTGTGGGTAATGGATCGAGCTTATCGAGTCAGACTAGTTACCAACCTGGTCAAGCGATGAATACTTTGACAACAGTATGTTCTCGCCCTCCAACTTCATTTAAAGCATTTCTGGATTTGATAATGCCGAAATATACGAGCCCGATCAATTGTGACATTGCAGTGCTCTTTGAAGAGTGGATTAAATCAGTCCACCAAGCAAGAAAAGCAGCAAAACTTTAGGAAATTAAGAAGAAATGGGCTTTATATTCTCTACATGGATCGAGTCACCGGATTGCTGGCTAAACAAGTTGGTCAGGTTTTATTGCTCCCACACTCAACCCTCACGTTCTTAATAAGTTGTTTCTTTGATTTCGTCTTAGCATCTCTTTTTCTTTTCATTAGCATTATAGCTAGAGAAACTTTTGAATCTTTGGATAACATTAAAGTTTGGTAATAAGGAAATAGTTCTAACTAAATGTCCTTAATATAAGTGCATATCTTGCAATTTTAAACAAAAGCATTCACTATTACTTGTACTTTATAAGATTTAAATCAAATTCTGAAAAATGTCTTTTTAGACCTTTTTATCTTCTCTTATAGTGTTGTTCTTTGCCGTTATAATTAGAATTTACTAGCTGAGGTTGCCAATAATATCTCAAATGCTAATAACCTCCAATAACAAATATCAAGTTTAAAATGGAATAAACTCTTTGGAATGAAAACATCATCTTTATTTCAATAGTTATTTCTCTCTTCAACCATACACAAACATAGCTTGAAAAATAAAAGACCTAGCAACATTTTTTTACAAAATAGTAAAGTTTGTTCCCTATAAAATCTAAGAAATGACAATACTTGTACCTCCATCTTCTGTTGAAAATCAAAGGACCAATTACACCCCAGAAGCCCACCACAAATCCAATTGGCATGCTTACATAAAACCAGATCACTTTATGTTCATCTCCATCTTCTCCTCTTTCGTCATGGTTTGGCATTGAATTACTCGTCTTAGTGCACTTCTTAGGAAGCGGATCTCCACAAAGTTCATTGCCAGCAAAACAAGATGCATCAAAACTTAGTAGTTGAGTGCTCAAAGGAATCCTCCCCGTGAGGTTGTTGTTGGATACGTTCAAGTGACTCAAAAAAGACAGATTCGAAATACTGGATGAGATTTCACCTGAAAGTTGATTACTAGAGAAATCAATGGATTCTATAGATGTCATAGCACCAATGGTTGTAGGAATTCTTCCGGTCAGAAAATTATTTGACAAATTCAATGTTTGCAATCCTTTGAGTTTTGTAACTTCGACAGGAATCTCTCCAGAGAAATTGTTTTTGGAAAGGTCTAAAATTCTTACCAAATTAAGAATGGTGCTATATTCATCCATTTTACCTTTCATCACAAGGCTTGCATCCTCAATAAAGTTACCACTTGTAGAATTTGTAGAAAGTGTTATTGTGGTTCTTGAAGGGCCCTTTATTGGCATCATGGCACTGAAATTATTGACACATCTTGGTATGGTTCCATAGAGATTGTTTTCGGCAAGATCTAAGACTTGCAGAGAAGACAACTGACAAAGTTCCGTTGGCAAAACACCATGAAATTTGTTTGAACGAAGGTTGAAAATTGTCATTTGTGAAAATGTTTCTCCGATCCATGATGGAATTTTTGCTAAAAATTGATTTCCACTCATGTCAAGTATCATCAAGTTATTGATACTTTTAAGTGAAGTCGGTATTGTTCCAGAGAACTTGTTTTTTTGGAGGTGAAGTGCTTGAAGGAAACTTAAATTTCCCATGGAGGTTGGAAGGTCACCAGTAAAATTATTGTTACCTAAATTTAGGTACAATAAGTCATGCCAATTCATCCAACAATCGGGTAATGCTCCGAATAACGCATTATCTTTGAAGCTGAGAACTTTAATTTCCTTTGACTCATTTATTCTGTAACATAAAAATTGGGAAATGGATCCTGAAAAACTGTTATTGGAAAGATCTAGGCCAATCAACTTGGAGGATATAAGGGGCAATGGACCTGACAGATTATTCGAATTCAAGAAAAGTGATTCAAGACCGCCAACATTGGTTAAATTTGGAAGTCCTCCAAAGATTTGATTGTGAGAGAGGTTTAGAAAAGACCATTGGGACTTCCAAAACCCATTAGGTATGGTATCTTGAATTCCTGAGTTTGATATATCCAACACCGTTAACTTATTTTGTGACTGAAGCCATAATGGAAATTTAGGCCCTAAAAGACAAGAACGCAACTCTAAAGTTTCAAGTTGAAAAGGAGGATGCCAATCAGGACTAACTTTTACTACTACTGAGTTTTGAGATGCATCAAAATTGAGCAGTCTTGTGAGATTTGCAAAATGAATTTCAGAAATAGTTCCATCCAATTTGTTATAGGAAGATCTAATTGTTCTACGGACAAAATTTTTCCTAGAGACAACGGAATAGAACAAAAATAGAATTGTTATGTATCAAGATGGACTAGATTCTTAAGTTTCCCCAATTTGTTAGTCAAATGACCAAAAAGTTGAGATTGATGCAAATCTAAAACCTGTAGCCCCTCTGATATACATCCTGAGAAGATATCTAGAACTTCAGATATACTTTGATTTAATTTCACATCGGATAAAAAGATTGATTTCAAGTTGCAAAGTTTTCCAAATGATCTTGGAGTCTCCCTTCAAGTTTATTTCCTGACAAATCTAGGTACTCAAGGAGGCTTAATTTGTACAACCAATTGGGAAATGCGGAGTTGAAATCATTATCAGATAATCAAAGTGCCTCAAAGAAGTCAAGTTTTGAAGTCCATCAGGAAAAGGAACTCAAAAGAATTTACATTTAGTGAAGATAGACTAAACATTAAGATCAAACTCCAACTAGGAATTGTATCACCTAATTGGTTTAAAGAAGATCAAGGATGGTAAAGACGAAAAGTTTGCAATGGGTAGTGGAGGAAAGTTAGAACTGACAATTGACAATTTCATCACTTTCAAAACAGAGAGATTATTTATCGCTTGCAACCACTCAGAGATTTGCTGAGATCCACATAACTTAAATCAAGATGCTCTAGCAAGAAAGACCAAATACCAAAAAGTGTTCTCAGCATACAAAACATTCCCACCACCGAGGTCAAGATATTTCAGGTAAGAGAGATTTCCCAATTGATGAGGAATCATTCCTGAAAATCCAGCTCCAGAAAGCAAGATACCTTAACTTTCCCATAGAACCAAGAAATCTAGGAATCTGAATTCCTTCAAAATAGTTTTTGCTTAAGTTCAAGTAAATCAAATCTTTCAAATCAAGCAAAGAGGGATTTATCTTACCGCCTAATTGTGAACTCCAAAAGCTTCGTACTTCAGAATCATTGTGAGGATTTTGAAGGTGGAGCTGGAGGACATGACCTGTCAAGTTGTCACAGACAACACCATCCCATGTGCAGCAATCTCCATCACCACTCCAAGAGGTAAGCCGGTTTGATGGATCATTGAGATCTTGCTTGAACCTTAAAAGTGCTTCTCTCTCACTTTCAATGCAATTCAAGTGGGTGTTTCTGTTGCTGAAGCTAATATCGATGATTGCTAAGGCCAGTAACTCAAGAAAAAGAACAACAATACTTATGCTCGGTTTCATGGTCATTGAAACTCTGAAAAGAAACTATATAAAAGGGGATGTGATGAGAACGTTGTCAATAGCATTCTATATATATAGGATTATATGCTCCATAATCTCAAAATATCTCAGCTTCCATAAATTTGAACAACCGTGTTGTAGGTCCAGATTAGATTAATTTGGAATTTTTTTTGCATGAAAGTTGCAGGAATTTTCCTTGATTACAACTTTTGACCAAAATTTCTAAGAGTGGGCCTGCGGGTTGCTATCACAGTAGTCTCTAAGTCAACTAAAAGAAGTAATTATTTATCAAATATATGATATTACAACGCTTTCTCATTAGTATTTATGATGATCTTAATCTTTAGCTTTTATTAGCTAATTTATTTTATAATAGGAGAGCTAAATCTAAGGATTCCATGGCGTAGAAAATAAAAAGAAAATTAATATGAAATGGATTAATGGTTCATTTGAAATCACTAAACCCATTCGTAAGCTTTGTTCTGAAATATTTTTGCTTGCAAGTTGCGTTCATGGTATCGAAATTTCTTTATCTGATTGATAATATTATGTGGATTTTAGGAACACAATTTCATATGGTAATTGATGAGTCTAAAATTCAATGGAAGACTCAATTGTGGGATGTGATGGATTGTTTACCCATAAAAGATTATTGTTTACTCACTGATAGAAAAAGACCAGGCAATCTTTTTAAAGTTTTTCTAAAGGTCTATACTTTGATAGAATCCATTAGTGCTTTTTATTTCAAAATTTTGGAAGGTAGGTCTGTTTATTGTGACTTCTTTTAGCAAAGTTTATTAGAGTAAAACTTGTGTAAATATAGTTTTTTTTATGAAAAATTTGTTAATTGTTTGGTTAAAATCAATGTAGTTATACAAAAATAAATCAAACCAAATTTATAAAATAGATAAGGGGTATTTTTTAAAATTTTAACACTTTAAATAAGTTCGAAATCAGCCTATAAAATAGCTTATTAAAAATCCGATAAATATTTTTAAGAGACAACCATATGATCTAAATAAATTTCTAAAATAATTATGATTTTAAATAAACTGACCAGCAGATAAGTCTAACCAAACCAGACTTTAAGACTTTTAATGGTTATAGGGCCACACTGCTGCGGATTGATAAGTTGTCAGACTTGACTTGTTAGTCAATCCATTAAGCATACATAATTAAGACTATTAATAAACAATTATAAAATTGAGACTTTTATCGGAAAAAAAGACCGCTAACCCAACTTTGGAAGATTTGGGTACATTGTGTTACATCTAAAGCAGTATAGTCTTCGGCCAAGAAAGAATAATAACCTGCCATGGGCCCATGGCAAGTTGGCAACACGATGAATTCAATTAATGGCAATTAAATAATCATAAAAGAAAGAGTTTTATCAGTAAAAAAGTTTTAAGTGTTATCTATCTTGCATCATGCTGATGTGAGCATAATAACATCATACCAACGTGAGCAAGAGAAAAAAATGCAGATAATTTCAAAATCAATAATGCTAAAGCTACCGAGTCAACAACCGATTTGACATACTGACTTTTGGTGAATTGAGATAAATTTTGAGAAGTCAATAATTGGGCAGTGGGTCGGTATAGCAAAATCGGTAATCTAATCAATAAGTGTAGCAAGGTCCTTTCAAAATTCAATAACAAAAACCAAACTAGATGTCAAATCTACTGGCCAGGAAGTTGTAGGTATATGAGAGGGTATAGATAATCTTTAATATACATCGAAGCAATCATGCAGCTGATTAAAGTCATACGTAACAAGAATTGAAATTAAAACTTGAAGATCATTATGGGAAGTCTAGTTGAAAATTTGATAATATATTTGAAAATTTAGGGTGTCAGTTGGTATCAATATTTGATATTTAATTTGATAATATATTTGAAAATTTAAGAACATAGTTTTCCCTGAATACACAATAAGTCTATATTTTAAGTCAAGAAGATTAACATTATATATATATAAAATAGTGATTGCCTAAAGAGAAGTCTCATCAATAAGTAATTTTCTTATTGTTATTTCTTTTTTTTCTCTAATACTCAACGATTGTGAGGCTTGAATTTAGATAATCATTTATCTTTTCAAGGGAATATGTTATTGATCAATTCTAAAGGTTCAAACCTCTCATCAATTGAATTTTTATTGAACAAGTTATGGTCAATTTACTATTGACTGTTCAATGGAAACTGAAATATGTGTGATGATAAAAAGAATGCTTTGGCAGTGGAGCTAAAGTTATCCAAATTAAATTTACAATATATTAAATTAAAGGCCTATATGTCTAGTTTCTAAATATTCAAACCTCTCATCAATTAAATTTTTATTGAGAAAGTTATGGTCAATTTACTACTGACTGTTCAATGAAAACTGAAATGTGTATGATGATAAAAGGAATTGTTTGACAGTGGGGCTACAGTTATCCAAATTAAGCGTATAATGTATCAAATTAACCCTGTTTGTCTAGTTTCTAAAGATTCAAACCTCTCATCAATTAGATTTTTATTGAGCAAATTATAGTCAATTTACTACTAACGGTTCAGTGGAAACTGAAATATGTGTGATGATAAAAAGAATGGTTTACTAAAGCTACATGGTTTAGCATCAAACATCAGTTGATATTTATTAAATAAATGAAATTAATTATATTCAGCAACAAACTCTTTTCATGATATATGTATGTAACATAAAAGATATCATCAAAAAGAGATAGAACAATTACAATTAAAACTACATATCAATATTTGTTTTCCTTTAAGGATAATAATAATGGTTTGACATATTATAAATGGTTTACTAAAGTTACATGGTTCGGCAACAAACATCAGATAATATTTGTGATACAAATAAAATTTGTTATATTCAGCAACAACCTATTTCCGATAGATGTATGTAACATAAAAAAATATCAACAAAAAGAGATAGAACAACTACAATTAAAATTACATATCAATATTTGTTTTCTTTTGTCATCATTAAAATTTAATTGGTTTTATGTGTGTAATGATAAAATGAATGGTTCGGCCGCAGGTCTATAGTTATCCAAATTCTTTGTATAATATATCAAATTAAAGCTCTATCTTTCTAGTTTCCAAATATTCAAACCGCTCATCAATTGGATTTTTATTGAGTAAGTTATGACCAATTTACTACTGATTGGACAGCAAAAATCGAGAAACTGGGGAAAGTGAAATGTGTGTGATGATACAAGGATTGGTTCGAAAGTGGGGCTAAATTTATCCAAATTAAGTGTATAATGTATCAAATTAAATCCATATCTGTCTAGTTTCTACAGATTCAAAACTCTTATCTTTGAGTTTTATTGAGCAAGTTATGGTCAACTTACTATTAACTGTTTGATTTTATGTGTGTAATGATAAAAGGAATGGTTCGGCCGCAGGTCTATAGTTATCCAAATTCTTTGTATAATATATCAAATTAAAGCTCTATCTTTCTAGTTTCCAAACATTCAAACCCCTCATCAATTGGATTTTTATTGAGTAAGTTATGACCAATTTACTACTGATTGGTCAGTAAAAATCGAGAAATAGGGGAAAGCGAAATGTATGTGATGATACAAGGAATGGTTCGAAAGTGGGGCTAAATTTATCCAAATTAAGTGTATAATATATCAAATTAAATCCATATCTGTCTAGTTTCTAAAGATTCAAACCTCTGATCAATTGGAGTTTTATTGAGCAAATTATGGTCAACTTACTACTGACTGTTTAGTGAAAACAGAAATGTGTGATGATAAAAAGAATGGTTCGACAGTGGGGCTAAAATTATCCAAATTAAGCGTGTAATATACAAATTAAAGGGCTGTATGTCTGATTTCTAAAGATTTAAACCTCTCATCAATTGGAGTTCTATTGAGCAAGTTATGGTCAATTTACTACTAACTGTTCAGTAGAAACCGAAATGTGTGTGATGATAAAAGAAATGGTTCGGAAGTAGGGCTAAAGTTATCCAAATTAATCATATAATATATCTTATTAAAGCACTGTCTATCTAGTTTTCAAAGATTCAAACCGCTCATCAATTGGATTTTTATTGTGTAAGTTATGGCTAATTTACTACTGATTGTTCAATAGAAATCTAGAAACAGGAGAAACCAAAATGTGTGTGATGATAAAAGGAATGGTTCGTCAGTGGGGCTACAGTTATCCAAATTAAGCGTATAATATATCAAATTAAATACTTGTTTATCTAGTTTCTAAAAATTCAAACCTCTCATCAATTGGATTTTTATTAAGCAAGTTATTGTCAATTTACTAATGACTGTTCAGTGGAAGCCGAAATGTGTGTGATAATAAAAGGAATGGTTCAGCAATGGGGGCTACAGTTATCCAAATTAAGCATATAATATATCAAATTAAAGCTTTATCTGTCTAGTTTCTAAAGATTTAATCATCTTATCAATTGGATTTTTATTGAACAAGTTATGGTCAATTTACTATTGATTGTTTAGTGGAAACTAAAATGTGTGTGATGATAAAATGAATGATTTACTTAACCCAAATTTAAAGGATTATCATATTATAACTGATAAGAAATTTTTCAAATAACACTTATTAATTGGAAAACGAAATCAGTCAAAATTAATTTATTTAACATATATACTCGCACATTAACAAGATATAAACAATAAATAATTCATATAACAAATTAAAATACATGAATGTTTTTACAGAAAACATATTCAACACATTTGAACTGTTTCTACTAATATAAATATGACACATACTTACAGTTCGGTTGACAATAGGATCATCCTCGATTTGATCTTAGTAAAGTACATGAACATTTCCTTGAAAACAAACATAACAAAATTTAATTGATCTTCGTGTTAAGATTTGTTAAGGAACAATTATTCATTCGTATAACAACTATTACCTGAAAATAAAATCAACAAAAGTTAATTAATCTTCATATTAAAATTGTTAAAGAATACACTTACCGTTCGGCAGGACCAGCACAATTAATCATTCAAATAGATTGACTGAACAAAAAATATCATTCAATCAAATAATAACCGTTAAAATAGTTA